AGAGAGAGAGAGAGAGAGAGAGAGAGAGAGAGAGAGAGAGAGAGAGAGAGAGAGTTGAGGTTGATGGATGCGGTCTTGCTGTTTCTTTGTCTCTTCCCCCTCTACCCCTGTGTATATACATTTTGATTGCGGCTCACGGCGGCTTGCCCGTTCTTATTTCCATTTCGGCCCTTTTGGAATCTGGATTCGAATTTTGCTCACTGTCTCAGTGGCACTATGTATATGATTGCTGAATGTATGGATGTTTTGCTTGCGAATCTCTATTTTGCTTTTTGTGTCGAACTTTTGTCTGCATCAGATATAGATGGATAGGAATTAGGCTCTGATCGTGATTTTAGTCTCGTTTTTGCTTACCTCACGATGAGGTTGTGATATGGTTGCATCTTGCATGATCAGTGACTCGAAATCTGGCCCCGTAAACGCCACGCGAGAACACGTGTAAACGCGATCCAAGTCGCGCCCTTACACGCATTCCCGTGTGGCGATTCTCCCACCCAGACGGGACTCGCGGTGACGAGATCCCGACCCGCGCCATCCCACCTACGATGACACCATGACGCGATCTTGGGGCTCAGACTCATCCTATGACCCGGACTATTTCACCCCTATAATAAACGAGCTCATAAGGACACGATACCCCTGTCACATGGAGAATCGATTATGTCCGCGGGAATTCCACTGTGCCACCACTTGCGACCCGCGGTGCTCTTATTTCCCTTCCCCCGACTGTACCTACTACTTCACCCATCCGGGATTTGTTGAGATCACCACCAGTTTCCCTCCTTTTCGCCTTCTTCTTCCATACGATCAACTCAGGGTCGTTCCGTGGTTGGCCATAGCCCCCTATTGGCCCAGTACGTTTTGCGCAAATTGCCGCCGTAGCAGCGAACAGAGAACTCCGGAACTCCGAAGGCCCCATCCAAATACGCGGAGGCCCGCGCCGCGTGGTGGACCCCGACGGCCTAACTTTTCGGGACCGCCTCCGCCGCGGAGGAACTTTCCCGTCAACCGCCACCCTCACTGCCCAGGCCCCATTGAACCGTGAGCTCCTCGCGCACGCATCCCTTGTCCGCCTAATTACATTAATATCCTTAAGACTCCCCCTCTTTCCCCAAAAATCCTTGGCACACCCCTTTTCGCACTTCCAGGCCCACACTCCACTCCGATCAGGAAGTCGCGCCGGGCGTGAGGTTGGGCGTCACAAGGCCAACTTGGCGGGGGGAGAGCCTCGTCTAGGCCAATAGGCAGCCATCTGGTTGTGAGGGATGCTGCGCCCAATTCCCGATTTTGGTAATAAAGCCTTGGGCACTGGGCCCTTTGAACCTCAAGTCTTTGGGACATGGGCTAAAATTGTAGGAGTACAGAGAAGATTAGCAGGGGCCCTGCACAAAGAATTGTCAATTGCCAAAGTGAAACTTTTACTGGAAAATGACGTCAACCAGTATTAAGTGGAACTGTTATTGTGGAAGTTCATTTCATGGCCGAAGAAACTACTGTAGTGGTGGATGGCCAGACGCCCCTGACTTTGTCTTCATTCATGTGTATAGCCAATCTGGGCCCGATCTTAATA